CACTAGTATTTCGGTCAAAGTAGCTGTAAATAGTCACTGAAATCCACTTTAACTTGCGGTAAATTAACGTGTCTACCAAAATTTAGCTATAGTTTTATTGTCTAACAATATTCCGTTGTTGAGATTCGGTCCACTGCCAAGGTCACTTACAATGTAAATATGATTGACATGTGGTAACAATACATTATTCAAAGAGCCTCTCCGTGTATTACACGCTCCTTATAAGAAAGGCATATTTCCACCGTTGTGATACAACCGGGTAAACAGATATAGATGCACTTTAAAAGGACCAAAATCAACAATCAACGCTGACTTTGATTTTCTAAGTAGTTATAACCATAACGATGAAAATCCCCTTAATACAGGTCCAAATAAAAAAAACCTTTTAATTACGTCACTAGGGGTACAGTGTAACTGATATCGGACACTTGTGTAGCCAGTTTAAGTCATTAGTCTTTCCCTGTCTGAGTGTGAAATAAATTACTGTCAACAAAATATTTGTTGCCATCCGACGAGCTACCGTCTGTGTACATGTATACTTCAAATGATCTTACTAGCAATGTGCTAAACTGCCTCAGTGTTTGTTTTGCCTCATTACCTATGTCACGTGGTTTTACAGCTTCATAAAGGTACACTTTCGTTAACTAAGCCTATCAAGGTCGCATTATTACATTATGCTGATTCACCCCCTCTCTTTTGCTAATTTCCTTATCCATTTCATTTTCCAACAGCTTTGACGTTATTGTTGGGCGGAACGAAATCTGCTTTTTCCATGCTAAAATTAGTAATATTTTACGATTTCTGCGCATGTCTGAACCCCCCCCCCCCCCCATGCCAGTGTACTCACCGTGCTGTGAGTAGAGACTTGGCGTGTAGATCATTCCTAGCAAACTGCCCCGTTGTACACCCAAACCAAATATAGAGGTGCTCTATACATGTCGAAGTGTCAAAAAAATAAAATTGTATGAATTCAAAGTTGTATTCAAATGCTGAAGTGTCAAAAAAAATAATATTGAATGAATTCAAAGTTGTATAGACCTATTCAAAATTTTAAAACACATATGTGTATAGAACAAAAATCCACGACTGGATCAATATGTCCAGTATAAAAATAGTGATGATTAGCCTAGTACTGTAGATTGATGCCGAGTGTTAATGCCGAGTGTATACATGTGTCAAAATGACTGTCCTACATATTTGACACCCCCCCCTCCCATTGGGCATTTTCACTCCCCGATCACTCTTAGTTTTTACACAGTCCTTTGATACATGAATTTAGTCTTACGTTTGTCCCTGCTCATGCACAACACCAATGTCAATGTCAATGTCAATGTCAAGCTCTATCAATATGCAATATAATTTGGAGAGAATGTGGTATATGTGATGATTAATTTTAACTTACCTTAAAATATGTAATAACCGAACGTTTTCTTTTTCGAAATATTGTTTGTCTAATTCCACAATGTAGTGATAGATGGACAAAACCTAGACATATTTGTGAAGTTTCTGTCACTTAAAGGGTTCCTGTTGTTATTCAGGTGGTCCTTTATGCGCCTTATTCCTGTGCAATCTGTTTGCATTTCTAAAAATATGTTTTCTATTTTAATGAAAGAATATTGATTGTCTCCGTCAACATTTGGAATTGTAAACTTTTCCATTGTTTAATTTCAGTATTAGACCATTACCATAATCATCAATAAATAATATCTTATATAACAAATACACTATAATATGATTATATTTATAATTATTATATCTATTTTTTGTAAAATTCTCGTGAGAAATCTACAGTATTATGATAACAATTATGCACTAAATGTTTACGATGTACAGGAATCACGACGTTTATTTTGCATTGAGGTGCTTATTTTCACATAATTTAATAATTTAATTAATAAAGTGTATATTAATTGATAACGACGAAAAAGGAGAAAACACACATCTTACAAATTTGTCACCCACAGCTACTTAAGGACATCCATATATATTTCTCTTTGGGCAACCTTTTTTGATGTGATAACCATTCACATTGAAGTATATTTATAGAGCATTATGTACAAAACTTCTAGCAGTGATACATGTAGAACAAATAAGTGTGTAAATTTTGTATCAAAATAATTTTTGATGCTTAAGTTGGACAGAAGTATAGCGCCATCTTCCTTTTCAGCATTCCAACTTTCTCAAAGGACAGAGCGTGCTATTTGGTTCCCTGGGAATAGAGACAACATGTCACAAATCCTAAATATAGCTGCCTATACTGGAACCACAGCAAATTTGTTCATGAGACACGAGGAAAACCGTCTACATACGTTTGCACAATGGCGCACACACATCCCTGTGGATCCACGAGAGCTAGCAAGGGACGGATTTTGTAATACAGGCCAACGCCACCTGCTTCAGTGTCCATTTGGTGGTTGCATCATTCGGGTTGAAGATTTTGCAGTTGGTGAGCATTGTTTATAATATAAACCCATTGTATCAATTTTGTTTTTCATTCAAATCATTACATGTCAAAAAGTTCAATGATGGAAATGAAAAATCCCTTTCGCTGTTACACTTGCAGTACACCCTAGTCTGCTAAAACATGTTAATTTCTCATCCATGCAGGCACTACTTATTTTATTGCTGTTTATCTACACATCATTTAGATTATATAAGCAAATATGACCTCCTGAAATCATCCATTCTTTTTCTGAAAAACACATTTTTAGAAGTATACGTCAGTTTGCCACATGTGCAACTCTTTGGATTAAAAGGGGTAAAAGAGCCTTTGAATTAAAACGTGGATTTGGTCCAATTCCATGTCAAAAATAATATTGATAATGGTAATACACATGTATCTATTTGATATAAATAATTTTGTATCCAGTTATAATTTTACTGTCTGAAATCTAGCGACTATTCTAGGTTTCAGACGCCCATTCGAGTGGCATGCGCAACAGAACCCTTCCTGCCCATTTGTGAGAGACAAAAATAATCACAACATTCCAATTAATATCGAAGATAAGCGTGGGTGTGCTGTGATCAGACCAGGTATATATACATGTCTGAGACGTTGTTATACATTTTGAGTATTATATATCAATCGAAGAACTAAGCTTTGCAGTTATAACCAAAGTTTGATGATCTGGGCAATGTGCGATTTATCATTTAGGTGCTTTGTTTGCTGGTCCTGTCTATCCACACTTCACTGATATCAATAGTCGTCGGGCAACTTTTGGGACATGGCCGCTCTTTCTGTCGCGACCGACGTCTTCATTATCTGACAAGTTACCGGCGGCTGGCTTCTTTTATAGAGGTGAGATACCAGTTATAGAAACAGCTATTTCAGATTTAAGAAAAAATTAGTATACTGAAATGTATCTATTATGTATGCTGTTGCAACTGTTACTGAAAAATGCCCGATTTTGTTGTATTATATCAAACTATTTTTCGTAAGTCTATCAGACAATAATTCAAACTCATGTTTTGTTTAAATTGCTGCAGCGTTAACTTCACTAAAATACTAAATTGCGTTTAAAAGCTGTTTTATATGAATCTTATTACCACTATTTGTCGTTACTCAGGTTTTTGTGACTACGTCACATGTTTTTATTGCGGTGGACAACTTCGTAATTGGGAGGACAAAGGTGGTTCTCTGACAAATGTAGCATGGTTAGAACATGCGCGGTGGCTGCCGAGATGCCCGTTTTTGATGGCTGAAAAGGGACAGCAGTTTATTGATATGATACAGAGCATATATCCCCCTAAGATGTGAGCGAAAGTGCACCCCCTCCCTCTTTTTGTCGACGGCGACAGCGAT